TTGTTGGGGTCCTCCAGATGCGTTCTTGGGCGCCGTGCGCGCACTGTTTCTCCCCCGCGTATGTTTTGAACGGGTGTCGGCCTCTTGGGGGTATCCTTGGAGAGCTCCGTGGCTTCTCGGAACCGTATTGGGGGTGCCTTCAGGGGGCGTTCCAGGTGTGCCTGTTGCGTCTCCTGGTGCGCCGCGGGCTCCACGTTCGCCAAGTGTGCCACGCGCTTCACCTGCGTCGGAATTTGCGGTACGAGCAGCGCGCGCCGGGTGTGCCAGCCGCGCCAGTGCACATGGCGGCACGACTCGGGAGTCGTGGCGATCACCGAGGATCCTTGGCGAACGCCAAGGCGAAAAGGCGGCATTCTGGTCCGCAGTGTGTGTGTGTGTGTGTGTGTCCAAGTGGTTTAGTTAGAGCTGCCCGCGCGCAGTAGAGGGCACGCGTGCAACGCCTGGGTATTGTGCTCCGTCCTGTGTCCTCGAGGGCCGGTAGGTGCCGACAGGAGTCGCTCTCCTGTCGCCTCGGCCGGGTTGCCGCGCACGGCGGGGTGTAGCAACACCAGCGGCATTCCCGAGCCGGGGGCGCACGCTTCACGCTGCGAGTGGAGTGTGCTGCGCTTCCCCGCCAGAGCCCGCAGTAGAGCGCGCGCAACCTTCTACATCGCCGAGCTCGCGCGCACCATGGCGAAGTTTGAGTGCACCTTGGTCAACTACACCATCGAACCGAATCATTTTCCTCACAATATGCCTAAGCAGCAGGAAGGTCTTATGATCTTGTTAGATGTGTGTGTGTGTGTGTGTGCGTGCGTGTGTGTGTGTGTGTGTGTGTGTGTGTGTGTCTGTGTGTGTGTGTGTGGTGCGCGCGTGCGCGCACCCGCAAGCAACACTCGTTTTCTTGGCAGGGCAGGTGGGCCCGTACACACCGCGCAGCAGGCGGGCGCCTCCGCCATCCCTGCCAACAGCTAATGCAACGATGGTCGTGGGGTGCCCATGCACAGTCGAACATGTTGCCGCACTGTTCTCTCTGTAATTGTTTCTGGGAGGGACTGTGGGCCTGCACGCGCTGGGCAACACGATGCCCCCCCAGCCGTTCCTGTCAAAACGCAATCCAGAGTGATCGCGGTGCGCCCGAGCATGATCCAGATTTTGCCGCACAGTGCATATTGCATTGTTCCCCAAACAGTGCTTGCGCTTAGGGCTCTTACTTCTGTTCTAGGGAACTGGGCCTGCAGGCCGGTCTAGCGGCTCCGTGCTCGCAGTCGCCGCCCCTTCGCCGCCTCGTCGCCTCCCTGTCGCCGCCTCGCATAGATTGCGCTGCGCAGACTGCATCGCATAGATTGCACCACATATATTGCACCACGTAGATTGCACAGCATCTATTGCATCACATGGGTTGTCCCGCATATACTGCACCATACTGCTTGCACCACCCAGGTTGTACCACGTAGCTTGCACCACATATATTACACATGGGTTGCACCACGTAGAGTGCTCCACAGATATTGCCTAACATATACTGCACCACATACAATCTTACTTCCAGAAGGTAATAGGACCTATCTCCCCCCCAGACTTAACGGTGCCCTTTTTTCGTATTGCAATTCACAAGCGATCCTGCCCCATCTTCCATCCTAAATATGAGCTCGTACCATCCCAGACAGGCCGGCGTCGCCCCCCCTTCATCCTCTGCAAAAAAAAAAACAGTGCGCGCGCCTTCGTTTCTCAGAACCGTCGTGCGACCCCTGCAAACACAGCACGGAGTTCCCGAAAACATGTTAAACAAACACATAGCTAAACACATAGCTTCGCAACAAGAAGTTTACCGAGCCCGCCCAAGTTGACTCGCACTTAAGTGCCCGCTGGGAAGTGCCTAGCGGCCAGCGCCGCCGCGGCCGCGTCGGTAGCGCCAAACTAGCTGGCCGCTGCGTGCGCGAGCATGCGCGGGCTAGCACGGCCGTAGCGATGCGCCAGCCACCGCCGAGTAGACATCGCAATCGCCGCTGCACGGGTTTTGCAAATCAAGTTGCGGGTGGGTGGGTGGGATTGTTGCGCTAGCAGTGGAGTTGACAAATTCAAGTTCGGCAGGGTGAATTGCGCTAAATAGAGCTCACCACATAGGTTACTCCACCTAGATAGCGTACATTTTTTGAACCACATAGATGGCACAGCGTAGATCGCTGGACATATATCGTATAGCATAAATGACACAACATGGACCGCACCACATAGGTTGCACCGCATAAATTTCACCACGTAGATTGCACACCATACATTTCTAGAAACACATTGTTTGGGGTCCACGCTGGCTAACATTTGTTGGAAGGGATGACGGGGGGTGGGGTCGGTACTGGCCCCGGTTCGGGGCACGTCCAATGACGGAGGGGGTGTACTTTAACAAGGGGCAGTGGTCCTTCCCTGAGGGGAAAAGTGGGTTGTAAGGTTGGAAGAGGGCTGCCAAAAGTACAGCTGCCCCCGCATTCCATATTCCCGCGCCCCTGGAGAGTGGCGACCTGCGCAGATCCGATCACCCTGGCTCGTGGCGGAGTAGGGCGACGGGGTTGGAGGCGGAGTGAGAGCAGTTGGAGGAAGATCGTGGGAGGAGGGGGATGATGTTATTGATGCATTTTTTTATCTATCCCTCTCTCTCCCTTCTCTATCTCTGACCTGTCCTCCTTGCCCTTGAGCTTTCTCCAGGAGACCCCACCCGTATTTTTCAGTGCTGGTCTTTTGGCAGCTTTTGCTTCCCTTCCCCCCATCGAATTCTTCTGGGAATTCGGGCTTAACGATGATCCTCGTAAAAATAAGTCCCTCTCTCGCTCTCTCTCTCTCTCTCTCGTTTTTTTTTTTTTTTTTTTTTTTTTGTTTTTGTTTTTTCTCTCTGTCTCTCTCTTTATATCTCCCCCTTTTGTAACGCCTTGGCGTACCATATCAAAACAGTTCCAAAAACACAATGTGACTGCCTGGGGCGCCACGGGGCGCCAGAGCAGAGCAGACTGTACGGGTGCCACGGATGCTTCATGAGCCTGCCCAACGCAGGTCGGTTTACGCTCTCTGGGTTCGCATGACACCTTTCGATTCGCATTGCTGCTGCCGCATCGTTGAGTCGACCAGGGATGGTCGCGCTCCGCATTCCTCGTCCTCCACCTCCCCCTCCAACCCAAACAAATATGACCATGTGTATCCAGTTGTCGCTCTACGACCGCAGGCAATAATCATCAGGGAGCACGTCGGGAGTAGGAGGACAGTCGAGCGCGGCAGCATTCTTCATCATTGGGCCCTGGGGCAAGCGAGCAGGGGACGAAGACGCCGATTCCTGCTATGAGCCGTGGGTCGTGCACGGCGCCTGCGACAGTCTTCGGAGCAGAGGCCATAGCGTCAGATGAGGCGTTCACGGAAGCAACGGCCCCATTACATTAGTTCGGGTGTTTCGTAATGGGGGGCGAACATGGAGAGTATCGAAGGTTACATAATAGGGGCTCTGCAGAGGTCCTACAGGGGCACCCTGGGGCTTATTAAGTACATGAAAGGTGTACGTTTCCCCCCCCCCCCCCTGGTTTGTCGCCCCCCATAAAGCAACGCCCAGCTAGTGTATAGCAGAAGCTGCTGAAGTTCTAGGCTTCTTGAGCTGCGGCAGAACCCAACCATATGCAGCTGCGAGCACCGCAAGACAGGGCTAAACTGAAAGAGGAGGCGAGCAAAAGGGCGTGCGTGAGAGGGACGGAGCGACGTTGCTGATTGGGTCGCAGAGATGTACCGTAACGGGCTACGCAAGCCGTTACGGCTGATGTGCGCGTCTGTCGGCGCGGCTTTCGGTGGAGCTCTCTATGGGGCCAACAAACGTGTGAGGTGCGTGCCGGAATCGGCGCGGTCACGCACGCAATTTTTGCCACTGGGGCCTCCTGTGGAGCTCCAGGGGTGTGCCCAAATAGGCGCGGTCACGCATGCGATTCCTGCCACTGGGGCCTCCGGTGGAGCTCCTTGTGAGCCACGAAACGTTTGAGGGGTGCTCCTGTGAGCCACGAAACGCTTGAGGGGTGTGCCCAAATGGGCGCGGTTACGCATGAACTTCCTGCCACAGGGGTCTTCGGTGGAGCGCCCTATGGGGCCACGAAATGTGTGAGGGGTGTGCCCAAATGGGCGCGGTCACGCATGCGATTCCTGCCACTGGGGCCTTCGGTGAAGCCCCCTATGGGGCCACCAAACGTGTGAGGGGTGTGTCCAAATGTGCGCGGTCACGCATGCGATTCCTGCCACTTGGGCCTCCAGTGGAGCTCCTGTGAGCCACGAAACGCTTGAGGGGTGTGCCCAAATGGGCGCGGTTACGCATGAACTTCCTGCCACAGGGGTCTTCGGTGGAGCGCCCTATGGGGCCACGAAATGTGTGAGGGGTGTGCCCAAATGGGCGCGGTCACGCATGCGATTCCTGCCACTGGGGCCTTCGGTGAAGCCCCCTATGGGGCCGCCAAACGTGTGAGGGGTGTGTCCAAACTGGCGTGGTCACGGGTGCGATTCCTTCCACTTGGGCCTCCAGTGGAGCTCCCTATGGGGCCACGAAGCGCGTGAGGGGTGTGCCCAAATAGGCGCGGTCACGCATGCATGCGGTGCCTGCCACTCGGGCCTTCGGTGGAGCTTCCTGTGGGACCACGAAATGTGTGAGCGTTGTGCCGAAAGAGTCGAGGTCACCCACGCCATTCTTGTCACTGGCGCCTTTGGGGGAGCCCCCTATGGGGCCACGAAGCGTTTGACGGGTTGGCCGCAAACGGCGCCGTCACTCGTGCGATTCCTGCCCACTGGATTTTTCGGTGGAGCTTCTTGTTGGGCCAAGAAACGTGCGAGAGGTGTGCCGGAATGGGGGCGGTAGGACGAGGAAGGAGGGGAGGAGGGGGAGGAGGAGGGAGGAGGGAGGAGACGCGGGGCAACGCGAATTCAAAACGAGTACCCAGTACCACAGGATCGTTGTGAAAGCAGTCGAGGGGGCGGGATCATCCGTGCCCCCGCCGACCCGACGCAAGGTGCAGCCTGGCGCGTGGAGGGAGGCCGTCATGGTGCTGGCGCTCGCCGCAGGGGTGCTGCTCTTCGGCAAGGAGGGGGGGCCTCAGCATCGCCTAACCGCTCCTCGTTCAGGGCACCCGCCAGGTCACCCGCCCAGGTGAGCATATGCCGCGCGAAACCCGAAGAAGACAGCATATATGATCCAGAGCTCGGGCCCCCCATCAATGCTAAAGGGATCGCGCCTCCCCCCCCCACTGAATGGGTAAGCCCGTGAGCCTCGCGAAGGCCTCGCGAATGGGATCTCCACCCTCCCTCCCCCCCGTGGCCCTGTGGGCGTGACGTGTTGGCGGGTGCCGGTATACCCCCCCCTCCCCTTGTGAGTGTGGGGTGGTTCGTCCTCGTGACTGCCGCCGCCGCCGTCGTCTTCGTCGGCGTAGTCGTCGTTGTCGTCGTCGTCGTCGTCGTCGTCGTCGTCGTCGTCGTTCCCCCCTCCCATCCCATATGGGGGGGTTCCTGTGGAACCCTGGGACCCATCCCATCTGGGAAGTGGGGGGGCCTGTGAACCTTTGACCCGGGATCATATATGATCCAGGAGACCGCCCCCTTCTACCCCATGCTGATAGGATCGGCCCCGTGAGCCTCGCGAAGGCCTCTCGAATCGGATCTCCCCCCCCAATTGTGGTCATGGCCCTGCGGGCGTGGCCTGCTGGAGGGGGGTGCCGGTGCCGCCCCTGCCCCTCCCCCTGAGGGTGTGGGGCGGTGCTACGTGGACGTCGTCGTCGTCGTCGTCGTCGTCGTCGTCGTTGTCGTCGTCGTCGAGGGTTCACGGGCCCCCCTTCTCCCAGATGGGATGGGCCCCAGGGCCTCACCGCCCCCAGATGGAATGGGGGGGCCGACGCCGACGCCGACGCCAACGCCGCCGCCGCCGCCGCAGCCGCCGCCGGCGACGACGACGACGACGACGACGAAGAATCACCCCACACAGGTGGAAGGGGGACGCACAGGAATTCTCCACCACGCCACGCCCACAGGGCCACGACCACAGGGGGGGTGAGCGATCCCATTCGCGACACTTTCGCGATGCTCACGGGCGTACCCATCTAGCGGGGGGTGGGGGTGGGCTCGATCCCATATGCATTTGGGGGGCAACCCTGGATTATTTTTCCCCCCCCAAGGGGGGTAGGTCGGCCAGTGGGGCCAAGGAGGAGGAGGAGGAGGAGGAGGAGGAGGAGGAGGAGGAGGGGGAGGAGGAGGAGGAGGAGGAGGAGGAGGAGGAGGAGGAGGAGGAGGCGGAGGAGGAGGAGGAGGAGGAGGAGGAGGAGGAGGAGGAGGAGGAGGAGAAAAAGGAAGACGAGGAACGCTGGCTGCTTTAGAGGCACTCGTGCCGCTCTGGGGCAAGCATTCTGGACTGCCTTTACTGGGCGGGGGGGGTTATGCTTAGTGAAGGGCATCTGTACTCGGCCACTTTGCGCTTGCATTGGTCGACAGCTGCTGCGACTGCTCTGGGCGGGAGCGCTTCCGAGACGGAACACAACGTCTCGCTTTGATTGAATGGGCCGAGCGCAACTACAAAACCGTCGCAAACCACGCTGCGAATGTCGCATTGGGCACGGTAATTGACTGGGAGTGGGAGAGGGTGTGCGAGGAAGAATTGCGCTGGGCGGCGGAGCGACCGCCAATCGCATGAAGCTTCGTACTGTGCCGGCTATCGCAAGACGGGGGAAAGCTTCGCAGTGATCACGGCCCGCCCTCAAAACGACAGCCAGTCGCGACGGCGGGCACGCTCGGGTCGAGATGGCCCCGCAGCCCAGGCTCACGAGAGCGCGAGGCGCCAGGGGTGCCCGCCTCCTGTCGGCGGGTCTGTCCTGGTCCCGGGGGCGGCCTGACCGGTCGGCGTCACCCCAACATACTTGTACTACGGGTGCGTCGCCCCCCCCAGGGGCGACGCTCGCACCGAGAAATCTTATGGTACATGCGTCGTGGCGGGCGCTTTCTGGCCACACCGCTCGGGAACCGATATGCTACAAGATGGGCATACTGTATGTTCGCGTCGGACGTGCGCCTCCAAGGAGGACATGTAGTATCAGTATGCCTCTGCGCGTCCCATGACCCACACCAGCAAGCCAGCCCCCTCCATGGCGGTCCCCTGGCCTCGCTCCGCTGCGTGGGGCCATCGGACAGCGGTCGGATTCTAATCCGAGGAGGAGGAGGAGGAGGAGGAGGAGGAGGAGGAGGAGGAGGAGGAGGAGGCGGAGGAGGAGGAGGAGGAGGAGGAGGAGGAGGAGGAGGAGGCGGAGGAGGAGGAGGGCCAGATGGGGGGCCCCGAGCGTCCGGGGCTCGCGCCACGGAAAGGGGCTACTCACGGCAGGGGGCCGGGCAGGCCGCGCCCGAGGGTCGATTTGCTTTGCGGAGCAGGTGGCCGCGGCTGCCGTGGGCGACGCGGCGGTCGCCCGCGGAAGCTCCCAGGCGCGCGGCCTGGCATCGGACGCAGAAGGAAGCACCAGTGCTCTTATGTGTCCTCCTCGGAGGCGTGCGTCTGACCCGAACATGTAGTACGCACATCTTGGAGTTTATCGTTTCCCAAGTGGCATGGCCAGAAAACACCCCCCACGGAGCTATGCAATCAGATTTCTTGGCGCGCGCGTCGCCACCTAGGGGCGATGCACACATAGTGCTAGTATGTCGGTTTGACGCCGATGGCATGCTCTCGTCCTTCTCTTTTCCTTCTCCAGATTTCTCTCCTCAGGGGCAATGTTTGGGCGGGATCTGCTCAGGAGGGATGCAACGACCCCCGATCGCCCACATATCGCCGATAGGGGCCCGATAGCCCACACTGCCCAGGAACCTGCGCATTCGCTGTCGAGGTCCTGTCGCCGATCCACCGGCGAAGTACCGCCGATTCGAGTTCGATGTTTCCCCCCAATGAGCCGTCCTCCGCACGATCCTCCTCTCCTTCTTCTCCTCTCCTGGCACGGTTCAGTAGGGAAAAAAACACGGACACAATTAATCGTCGATCCCCAGGAAAATATGCAAAAATATGGGAAGTGGGGGGGAAGACAAAAACCAAGAAAATATGGGAATATATGTAGAATCCTGTTATTTGTGTATATCTATTTGTGTGTCTCAGCGCCCCTTCAGAGGCGGGGGCGAGGTAGGATGGGGGAGTTGGGGTACGGGGGAGCTCGAGGCGGGGGCAGAGAGGCCGATGAACGTGCTTCAGGCGATCGCAAACATGGATCAAGGGGGCGTGGATTAGCGACGGGTCCCGTTTCCATGGGAAATCGCGGATTTCCGCCGCCAAGCGAGGCGGCACCGGCCGCATTTTGGGGAGGGCGCCTCCCCCGCTCCATGGATTTGGCGACCGCGCGCCAAATCCATGGATCGCTAATCCATGTTTGCGCGCCCCCGAATGTTTGAGTGGAGCTGTATCGCAGATCGGCGGTTAATGGTCGGATCGGGGTCTTACCATTGTCTCCGCGCTTCAGGACATCGTCGGGGAGATGCTGCACAGGTGCAAGGCCCGAGGAGGAGGAGGAAGAGGAGGAGGAGGAGGCAATTCTAATTCGAATTCCTTTAAATGCCATGGTCCTGCTCTAGGCAGGCCGCAAATCAGAAAATCAGCCCAAATCGTGGAAACCACCGCCCGACTTAGGGGGCAGGCCGCTCAGGAGCCGCGAAAGAACCTACTTCCCCGCCTTCGAGGGGGTTGGACCTCGGGCCGGGTCGCTCTGCTGGCCTCGACCACTGCACGTCTGACAGAACAAGGCTCACCTTAAAACAGCAAGACGATAGGAACCATAACGCTGGTCCGCCAGAGGGTGGTCAAGATCACCGCCACGCGAGAGATATGGCCCAAGTTATCCACAGGAGGCTCAGGATCGCCATTGGACCATTTGGGACTGGGAGAAAAGGCAGCAATCCTCTGCTGGACGACACATCTGAGCTTGCAAGCAGAGGGCCAGACATCAGACAGGTCACCTCGCATGCAGAACCCGAGGTGGCAATAATTACTTACAGCGCAAGGACAAACCTCTTGGCAAGAGGAGAGCACCCCGCATCTCGGAGCTGGCACAGCAGACTGGCTCACACTGGCTCCATCAGCAGGGGTAGATGCGGCCTGGGGCTCAGACGGGACACTTCCACCACCACCTCCACCAGCTGCAGCAGGCTGTTGGGCAACCGGTGGTTCTCCTCCACTGCCAGCACCAGGTGGCTGTCCAGGGTCCGCTGGGTCGCACTGACGGCGCTTGGCGGCCATGCGTTGAAGATGCTCCTTGTGGACTGCACAAGCGCCTCGCGCTTGCTACACAAGCGGACCGGGTACATCTTTTGCCGTTTTTGAATCGATTCTCCAAGGGACTGATTGCGTGATTCAAGCTCTTGCTTGTCGTCCTCTCCGATATCCTGATCGAGTTGTACATCCGCGACCAGCTCGGCGAGCGAGATGAGCTGGCTGAAATCAAACGACTCCTCGACCAAATCGGATAGGCGAATAACTGGCGGCTCACTCTTTGTAGGTCCAACAGTCTGCAGTTCAGCGAGCGGCGACTTGCATTTGGCGTCCGCCTCCTCGAGCTCAATCTGGAGCGTGCCCACGTACAGGGCAGAGGTTGTCCACATCTGCACGCCATTGAGAAAGACGATTACATTCATCCTCGAGCTTCTTCTCCAGTCGGCCGACATCGGCATGGGCTGACTGGATACGTTGATGAACAGGTACATGTTGTGGGATGAGAGCCGAGCTTGGTGGCGACAGAGTCGTACCGCTTGTAGTTGTCCAAGTCTCTTGCCTTTTACGAGAGGGTGGCCATCTGCCGTGCCTCCTCCAAAGAGAGGCTGGGGAGCGGTCCCGCTGGAAGAGGCTGCGAGCCATCACCCTTGCCGCTACTCTGGCCTCCGCCCTTGCCACCTCCCTTGGCGAGGGACGCGACTGGCGGCAGGGCGCCAGCTGGCGTGCCACCCTGTCCACGTCCACCAGGGGCACCTGCAGAAAGCGCGCCAGGCGGATGAGAGCTCCAAGCACCAAGCTGATGGTCACCACCAGGGGGCCGAACAGCGAGAAGCGTGGCCCCGCAGTGCTTGCAGAACCGCGCCTTGGACTCGTTCCTGTTGCAGCCGCATTAGGCACACTTGCTAGTGGGTCCGCTGGGGCTGGACTTCTTTTTGTTATTACGGCCAGTGACATACTGCCAGCCACTGCCGTCGCTCGTGTCATACCATGTCGAGCCTCCTTTGCCCCCGCGGGAGCCATGCCAGGGCGCGTCGCCAAAGCTGCCTCGGGACATGCGAAGGAGAGCACAGACGAGTAGCCAAATATGCCCGCAAGCGCTTGCGCCGTGTCGAAGTGAACGCTTGCAAGGGCCGAAGGAACAACCTGGGCTCCGACGCGGCTGCGGCGGAGGCGGAGGCGGAGGAGGAGGATGAGGAGGAGGAGGAGGAGGAGGAAAAGGATGATGAGGAGGAGGAGGAAGAGGAGGAGGAGGAGGACGGGGCGGAGGCGGAGGCAGAGGTGTAAGAGGAGGAGGGTGAAGAAGAAGCAGAGGACAACGACACATATATTTAGCAGTGTTAATTGTATGAAACATACTAGCAATATGGGTGCCACTAATATTAATAGGCAGACCACTCATAATGACTTACTACTACTACGACTGCGACTACTACTACGACGACGACTACTACTACTAATAGTAGTAGTAGTACTACTGCTACTAATACTACTACTACTACTACTACTACTACTACTACTACTACTACTACTACTACTACTACTACTACTACTACTACTAAAACTACTACTACTACTACTACTACTACTACTACTACTACTGCTGCTACTACTACTACTACTACTACTATATCTACTACTACTATTACTAATAATGATCATGGTATTAGCAATGGCACTACGAACAATAGTGCTACGAATCAGAACACGTACTTATAATCAGATCACGGGTCACAAGAACATTGCGATTCACAATGATACAAGTAGTACGGATATGCATACTGAGAGGAATACCAACACCAATGATTACAATACCAATAGCAACAGCAATGTTGTTATTACTGCTACAAGCGCTAGTAATGTTGCTACTCATGAAATCAGCATGAAGAAGACTAATACGAATACTAGAAGTCGCATTTTTTATATATGCACGAGAAGAAGAAAGTACTGATCAGAAGAGGAGCAGTTTCAGGAGAAACGGCGTCCCTGAGGCAGGGTTGTCGCTTGCCAGCAGGTCGGGCATCTGCGCCACCAGGCCTTGCTGACCACGTCGAAATCTCAAGCTCAATAGAAAAACAACTATAGTAGCAACAGTATTGTCTCTTGCGGCGACTGGTATGACAACTTTACAAGAAGTACGCGTGACTGTAATAAGTCTACTAATAGCCCACCTTCAACTGCATTAACAATCGTATGTCTTAGGAGTAGCAATATGCAACAATACCACGCAATCTAGTGGTAGTCTGGTGGTAGTAGTAGTAGTAGCGCAGACGTTCTGGCTCCAGCAGGTTTGCCGGCGCGCGCAATGAGAATCCATTTCCGCAATCAGCGCCCCCCCCCTCCTTAGAATTCTAGCAAGAGGACCAGTGCGCGTGATCGCGGGATCCCAGGATCGTCCCCAGTTTATCCGTAGAGTATAGTATTTTTCTAGTAATCCATATAGTCTAGTATAGTCTAGTAGAGTAGAGTATAGCACAGTAAAGCACAGTATATTATTGTATAGTGTAGCGCAGTACCGTATTTTTTGTATATTTGTCATGTGTGTGTGACCCATGGCTGGTCACGGCGCTGCTCGCTCTGAGCGGCTTGAGGGCTCGGCCGCTAGTTGCGGGCGAGCGTTCACTTCTTCGATTTGGGCTGCGACGTTACATATATACATGTATATACGTATATGTAAAAGTATATGTATCTGTATATGAATATGTATATGTACGTGTGTAGGTATATGCATGTGTCTATATATGTATATGTATATGTATATGTATATATATGTATATATGTGTATTTGTATGTGTATGTGTATGTGTATGTGCACGTGTATGCTATGTATATGTACATGTATGTATGTGTTAATGTGTTAATGTGTATGTGTATGTATATGTATATGTTTATGGATGTGTGTGTGGCAAATGTACACGTGTTTGTCATGCATATGTACATGTATCTGTACATGCATACATATGTATACGTATATGTATATGTATATGTATATGTATATGTATATGTATAGGTATATGTATATATATACGTACACATATACGTATATATATACGTATACATATGCATACATATGTACATGTACATGTATACGTACATGTATATGCATATGTATATGTATTTGTATATGTTTTTTTTTACATAGGTTTGTGTATATGTTTAGGTACATGTATATGCTTATGTATATGTATGTGCACGATATATGTATTTACGCATGTATACGCGTATGTATTTGTATATGCAAATGTAGGTGTAGATGTATTTGTAGCTGTATACGTATTTGTATAAGTATATGTATATGTGTATGTATATGTATGTGTATATGTATATGTTTATGTATGTAGGTATGCATATATTTGTACATGTACACACATACATATATATGTATTTGCATTCATATACATATGTGTGTGTGTGCGTGTTTGCCTACATATATCCCTCTGTCCGTTTTTTTCTCTGTCTCTTTTTGTTCGATATGTTTCTTTCTTTCTCTCTTGCATGCCATATGTAATGACCTTCGGCCCACCCCGCCACTGTGCCTGGGTTGTGGGTCGTAGGCCTGTCGGATGTTCGTTGGGATGTCGAGGGGGGCTTTTCGGGAGCCTTCTGGAGGCCGCCTAGAAGACTCTCGTCTCGGGGGCTGTTTCGGAGCGTCTGGGGGAGTCTTGGGAGCCCCTCGGCGGTCTCTTGGGCCTCTTTGGGGCCCCCTGGCGCCTCTTCGCGGTATCCTGGGGGCCTCTTGGGACGGAAGGCTCGGGCTTTCCATTCAAGTTCCCCGTCTTGGGCCCTTCTTGGTGCTGTCATTGGGCCCTCTTGGGCCGTGGTGGGCGCCAATGGGGCCGCCTTTGAACCATTTTGGGCCGTCCAGGGGCATTTTTTTCGGCCTCTTGGGCCGTCTTGGGGCGGTCTTGCATGTTTCTTGGGCCATTTTGGAGCGTCGGAAGCTCGAAAAGTCGAGGACCCCCAAACCATTGAAACACAGAAGGCGAATCAATGGTTTGGCCTTTCGGGGCGCTCTTGGGGAGGCTTTTCTTGCTCTCTTGGGGCGCCACGAAGTCTTCTTAGACCGTCTTTGGCCGATTGTGCGGCGATTCGGGGCCTTCTTGGGCCTTTTTGGGGCCTGCCGTGGCCCTCTTGGCCCGTGTTGGGGCCTTGTTGGGCCCGAGGAAGGCATGCGACCAGGCGCCCCAGGCCCCAGGAGCCACGCGGGCCCCAAGGGCCTCGCGCTCCAGAAGATTTGGGTCTGGGCCCTTTCAAGAACCTTCAGGATTGAGGCCCACAGATTGAGCAAGG